TATGCTGCGCATATATCTTCACGACTTACTATGTGGGTGTATAATTTCTTTCTTTTTTTTTTTTTTTTATTACTTGGCAAAGTCATAAAGAAAATTAAGAAATCCGATTAAAAGTATGACATGAAATAAAAGATTCTTCAAGTATGTCTTCTCTGTGTGCGTGTGTGTGTGTGTGTGTGTGTGTGTGTGTGTGTATGTGTGTGCGTGTGTCCATATATGCTTTGATTAAAAATTCGGTCTAATGAAAAATTCATATAACAGTGCATGTGTGCATGTGTGGTGATGTGATTTGAAAATGATTGTATACTTGAAAAAAAAATAAAACCGAAAGCAGAGCAAACGAAAAATGAAAATATAGTTTTTGAACGAATTTTGGATACCTATCAATTCAAACATTTTATTAAATAAAATTTAATTTAATTTAATTCTCTAAAAATTAGCAAAAATGAAATCGTTGTCAGATCTTTTTAAAAACTTGGACTTTCTTCTCATAGATTTGTTGTTTAGTTTTTATTTTTTTTTAACTATCAAGTGATTTATTTTTTTTATTAAATTCTTGTAAATTAAAAAAAAAAAAAAAATTTTGCGGAAATAATTTATGGATGCATAATATTAAGTCTTTGCAGTTTATCTTAATTTTGCTAAATTTAAACGACCCATTTATGCAAAGACGAAGGGACACCCTATCGACTTATATACATTTTATGATGACCTCAGTACCTCTCTCTAGGAAATCTAAAGACTGTGATAAGTGCGAATTACCTCTAATGGGTGATAAAAGGCAGAAGAAATTTCTTTTCACTGAGTGGGCATAAAAAATTTGCTCATCTTTGATGGCAATGTTAATAGAAAATGGTTTACAGAAAAGCTCTCTTTAAACAAAAAGTAAAAGCTTTAAGTGTCGAAAAGCATATTCCTCGGAGCCCATACGTGCGCTGAAAATATGCATATTAGGGAGATTCTTAAATATTAATTAAGTCTAAAATTCATTAAAAGTGAATAAAATGAATGCTCTTGCAAACGGTCCGCCATAAGGTTGAGTAAATGTGTTTGATTTTATAACAAAGTGTAGTTTAAAGCGAATTTTATTTGAATGAGTTTTTTTCTTCTTCTTTGGTTAATGTTTTTTTAATGATTCATAGTAACATGCTTTTGCCACGCATGTATGTGGAAGCAAAATATACGAATATACGAATAAAGAAAAAAAAAACAATTTTTTTTTCAACCTTTTCGCGGCAAAAAAATCGTGTTTAAAAAAACCCTTTTGCTAAAGGAAAAAATTTTCATGCTAATTGCAGGTAGCGGCTGAGTGCAAAACCTATTCTTAAAACAAATGGTTTTATATGCAGATTTCTTCATAAGAAATGTTTTTAGAGTAATGTGATGCTACAACTATCTTCGATAAAAATTTAAGGAAAAGCCACATTCTCACTAAACTGCACCCATTCTCCTATCTCTTTCTCTTTCTTATTACACGATCAGGGAATACCCCATGAGTCGTATATAAAATAAAAAAATAAAAAACTAAGTAGAACCAGTAATAAATCATTTAAATTTATATGTCTAAATTTTGGCCATTGAAAGATTGCTGCAAGAAAATGAAAATGTAAAAAAGTTTATCTTAACCTCACTTTCAAGAAATTTGAATCTTTTCATTCCTTTCTATTTTGTACATTACTTGCATCTTATCGCATTCGTCGAGCATTCCTGATATTTTAAACGTCTTCTATTATACCTCTATTATATATTAAGTTATTGAATAAAAGTAAACTGAGGATGCAGTGAACATGATAGTACGTCTATGCTGAGGGGAAAAGGGAGAAATATTGCTAAAAAAAACAGCTAACTTTCTGAGTGTCTTTTACTTATTTTTTCATGATCAGTCACTTTGGTGACGTCGCCTATATATATGTATATAAGCATGGTGGTGGTCATTGGCAAAGAAGTTGGAGGAGGGAGGCCGAAATCTTAGGGATGCATGTACAACCGGTTGCAGTCAGACAATTGAAATATGATCCATCGCATGATTCTCTTGATTACTTTCATTTATTATTATTATTATTATTATTATTATTATAAATTTAGCCAGAGAATAAATTCTAAGACTAAAGTCTTAAAGCACTAGGCATCTAAGGCTTTCGGCTTTATGCACTCGACTCTACTGCACTTGAGATTTGAACCCACGACCATTGAGTTGCTAGTCGAACTCTTGCCTACTCGGCCACTCAGGCGGATTACTGTCATTTAGAAGAGTAACTTTTTCTATATGATTTTATCTCTTAAATCGAGTTTACGTAAAGTCATCGGCGTGGTTTTTTAAGTTACGAAAATAGTCACAAGCCAGGCAGAGCAGGACGGGTGTGAAACGATAGATGAGAGAAATGAGTAAAAATTCAGAACTGTCCTCCAAAAGTTAAGCTACACTCTCGTGTAGAAATATTTTATCTTAACAATTCGACCCGAACCCAAATGCATCAGGCACCGCACCACGATAATCCGAGAAAACTTGAATGTTCTGATTTTTGATTACAACTGACTACTCTTTCATCAGAATTTTGATTACTTATCTATTTCTTTCGCTCAAGAGTCTCAAGAATCTTGCTATTGTTGATAAATAACTTTGATCAAAAGGTAGGAGAGTAAGTTGAAATTGGATTAGCATATTATGAAATGGTCAACACATATTTCACTTACAAGGAAATAATATAACATCTTCCAGAAAGTTACCAACCTCTGTTGAGTTAGCGTATAAGTCTCACATATATCCAATAAATGCTGAAAGTGTTCCCTGTTTGAGTTATTGCATTGGTAGCGTATGGCTGACTATGTTAACATGCCGGAGCTTATACTTTCATATACATAAGCATTTATAAAACTCTAAGAACCCGTATAAGCCGTGAATGTTTAACGTATACAGAATTGTGCCCATCTGTGCATACATAGGTGCATCATATGTTTTATATAAGCGCATGTCTATTGCTGTTGTTGCCATTACTGTGGCCATTGTAGACATATGTAATCTGTAACTATACGTTTAGCGGAGCCACGATGAGGTCGTTTTTTTTTTTTTGCAGGATGCTTCAACAACGATGCAGTGATTCTAGTGTTTAACCTTAACTTGGCAAAAATTCTTATAAAGAAACTTAAGAAAATATGTACTGATTTTATTTAAAAAAAAAAAGAAAAAGAAAAAATAATAAAAAACCAAAAAAAAAAAATAAAGGAAAAAGTCAAAACAAAATACTTCTTTTAAAAAATAAAAAAAAAAAAAATTAAAAACAAAATACTTTTTATTTTAAACTTTTCCTTTACAACGTGTTTTAGTCCTATCAGCAGTTAATGTTTAGAGAGTTTCAGGAGAAAATTATCTAAAAAAAAATATGCAAAAATATTCGACATTTTTTTTTTTTTTTTTTTTTTGTTTTGTTTCTTTTACTATTTGTGCGGTAAAAAAGTTGCTCGATGCTCGATGATAATAACACAAGAGAAACTGCTTACATTAACTATCATACTGCAGTAGTAGTTGATAGCGAAAAGCAGATATAAAGGAAATAAAATAAAGTTAATCGTAAACTGTAATAATATTACACAAAGGCATAATATCTAAAGTTAGTCTGTTGCTTTAGATGCTTACGTACGCACTTACATAGTGAACCAGCAGCATCGGCAGCGACAGCAGCCGTATAAGTGGGTTTATTTGCAAACAAATCCAAAATGACCATAATTCATTAGAGTTCTGGTTATAGAGCTGATTGTAATAGTGTAGTGTAGAAGTGAGTGCAGAGTTTAGTTAAACTTCTTGATTAAACCGCAATGCGTCTAAGTGAGTGTGCGTGCGTGCGCTTGTGTATGCGGGAGTAGTGAATGGTATGGATAATGGCAATGGGCAATGATAATATTATATGATGTACCCGTCGATATCAGTTATAATGGTGACGATGTTAGTTATATATATAAGTTTATGTGTTTGGGTGTGTATGCGTTTGTGCCCTCTAACATATGAGTGTTGACGTGTATATAAGAGTGTGGGCGAATAAAAAAGTTTTTTACTCTCCGGGCATTTAATAAAACAAATCAAATGGATTCAACTGCAGTGTTTAAGTGCTTGGGTGTATATGTATGCGGTTAAGTTGAGAGTGCGTGCGAAAGGTATAACCATACTTAATAATAGCTTTTTTAAGTGTGTGCGTGTGCATATATATATATATATATATATATCTATATATATGTATACATATGCATATATATATGTGTGTGTGTGTGTGTATGTGTCTATGAAAATACATATACTTTGAAGGTTTTGCGTGCGTGTATCTAACCGCAACTACACATGCTGTGAATAATAATAAACTTACTAAACCGCATAGACAAATTCCAAGCACGTTATTGAAAATTTCGTCAAAGGAATTCTTTTCACTGAGTGCCAAGGATACATACATACATACATACATACACTCCTCGCCTCATACCCAAGCTCTCTTTGCTCTTTACTCTTCCACACTGTTCTGCCAATCGTTTTTTTATTACTTGAGAACAGCAAATAAATGTTAAGAATTTTGTGGAAAAATCAACAAAAGGATAACCGAAAGAGAAAGAGGTAGAATGATTTATGTAAGTTGTAAATTAAATTTTGTTTGTAAGAAAAGTAAAGAAAAGAAAAGAAAAGAAAAGAAAAGAGAAAAGAAACAAAACATATATAAAAAAAAAAAGAAAAAAACAACAACAACAACAACACCATATTTTTTCTATATTTAAATAAAAGCATTACTGATGCAAAATAATGACCGTCATAACAGCGTGCTTCACTGCTGTTCATGACATTTTACACACATTTCGCTGACGGTGCAGCAATTATATGAACAAGTGTTTATGTCATATTTCATGTTTAATGTTATTCTTGTTCTTATATTAATTAAAGTATAAATTAAAGAGAAAAATTAATTTTAATTTATATTCGCTTTCTTTTCTTTCATTTCTCCATTCTTTGTCCTTAATTCAAGGCCTTGTTGCATACACATGACGTGGTGGCGCGTGATGTTTACAGTGAAGAAGCTTTACGTGTTACGCCGCCTCCAATGGCTCCTTATATTAACGGTGATGAATTGGATAATAGCGATGCCGCCGAATTGCAGCATGTGACCCGTGTACGTTTGGTGCAATTTCAAAAGAACACTGACGAACCAATGGTATGATTATTAAAAGCTATTATTAACCTTTTAATTAAATAAATGAACGCCTTCACTTTATAGAGAACAATAAGGTTTGAATTCATTTCATTCATTGCAGGGCATTACGCTTAAGATGACGGAAGATGGTCGTTGTATTGTCGCACGTATAATGCATGGCGGCATGATACACCGTCAGGCGACTTTGCATGTGGGCGACGAGATACGCGAAATTAATGGCCAACCAGTACAGCATCAATCCGTAGGGCAATTGCAACGAATGCTGGTAAGTCACGCTTAACAATATAAATTGGTTGCGGTCTTCACGTGACAATCACATGTATTAGATTTTAATGATTTAGAGCAAATTAAAATTTAGCATGCAAAACAATACAATAGATACAACCACAAACGGGAATGAAAAAGACGTTATCGAAAAGACTATCATTGATAAATGCATTCTTGCGAAAGTCGTGGATGCGTACTTTAATGTACCGCAAGATTTAATTATAAACACACAGAAGGCATGAGATTGGCGAAATATTGCGCGGAGCGGATGCAACAAATGAGGACATAGTTCGACAGTGCAGCGCATTAAGGATGGAGAAGAAGTGACGATAACATGCTTTGAAGCAATGAGCTTTGAATAATAGCGACTTTAAGCACAGGCATCAACATTTCAAAGAGAAGCCCTCCAGAGAAATTCGGATAGAAAGATTTTAAACTTTTCTTTTCAGTCTTTGAGCTCCCATTAACTCGATCTGTATCTTCACTATGTGATGTTAAGTATTGAAAAAAGAAATGATGGATTAAAGGATAAACAGTGTGAAGGCTTATACATCCTACTGCCATAACGTAAGCAGTAGAGTATACCGGAATCGGTCATAGACCGAATTTTAAATCAATCGTCAATTGGTTATAGAAATTTTTACACTTTATCTCTTCGGAAATTATCGACTTAAGTAATTTTTAGTACCAACTGGAGACTAGTTCTAATCTGAGAAGAACAGAGCAAAACGTCAGAGAGAAAGGAGGAAAGGCAAGGAGCAAAGTGCTGTAAGAAGTGATAACAAAAAATTTAAATAAAAGATTTGTAGTAGATTTGAAAATTAAGCTAAAAGAGGAGCATAAAGGCAGAGACAGGAAGAAAGCTACATCAAGCGCAAGTGCATGAAAATTGGAGTAACTTAAGAAAAGTTTTTTTTTTTTTTTTTTTTTTTGATTTATTGAGTAGAGATGAAGGAAGGGTATAGAAATTAAAATTTGGTCGAATAAAAACACCTTTGAAAGCTAAATCAATCGCCCAAGATTTTTTTAAGGTTCAACGATACTCACACCTACAACTCTTTTGAGTAGCGATTTAAGACCACTGCCACTGTCAAATCTATGAAATCCAGACTATTGCGATATTCTCTAAGCTTGTGTTAGACCTTAGTACTAGCGATTCTTACGACTGCCAGTAATATATATATTTTTGTAAAACTCTCGTTAGTTCGAAAGTTCGTACAGTATGCAAATAATTTGATTTAAAATATATATCGACATCGTTCCAAATTGGAAAATTCCATTATCAGGCGAATGATGGGGAAACAAAGCAACTTTAATGGTATGGTTGAATCTATGACTGGGATTAAAGAAATTAATGGCAGTCTCAAGTGTTTTAGTTCGATTTAAATTTTTGTAAAACTGAGAATTTTCTTATCAAAGCTATTTGCAAAAATATATTCGTTCGTTGTGATCGACCGGATCCTTACCTTCTCAGAAGGCACTTCTGCGCCAAATTTAAGCTAGGGAGTACAGTATAGTTTCTTCCTATTGTGAACGGGTTACAATTACTTTCATATTTAACGACCGTAACAAACTAACCCTATGTTATGCTAAATTAAAATTTTTTTTTTATACCAAACTCTGTAAGATGAGAGTTTACACATTTTGTTTTTTTTTTTTTTTTCATAACATATGTAGCACTGAAAAGGCTTCAAAAACCCTATAAGGTATATATATTCTTCATCAGCGTGAAATTCTGAATTGATTTAGCCATGTCTGTCCGTCCGTCCAATTAGATTAGAATGGAATTTGCTGATAGAAATGTGCTGATCGTCGGTGTTAATAACAGAATGATGATTGGTCTGAGAGGGTTGTGGGACCATCTGCTCTAAGTAAGTTAAATTGAATTTTCCCATTACTATTTGGTTACTCTATGAGAGAATTATAAGCTTCGTACGTTATGAAGTTCTGCTCTAACTAAATTTGACTATAGTTATCTATTACCTGAATTAGCCTATAGTTATTTGTTAAAGGAGTCGGCCGAATATTTCTTGAAACAGAATAAATCTAATACGAGACCCGACTACGAAGTTTACAACAGAATAATAACTGCTGTGAATTTCTATTATAACTAAATAAGCTTTAAGTTGATTGCCAATTATTTGCTTCTTAATTTTAAAAGCAATTTTCTTAGCAATCTTTTTAATCCTCTCTCCTGTTCTCACTCTTTTTTACTTTTCTTTGTTTTCGTCGAAAATTTTCTTAAAATATACTTCAAAACTACATTTTATTCAAAGTAGTTCTGAAGAATTTCAAAGACATTACCCTATTAAAATTTAAAAAAGAAAAAAAAAAAAAACGTATTTCGTATTCATTACGTTCATGTGTATGGAAATTAAGCGATAGTCATAAATATTTTATTATATATTTTTATGTATGCGTCGTCTTCAGAGTTATCTCATTTCATATTTGTTATGCTTGCTTTCTTCTGTTCCAGCGTGAGGCACGTGGTTCTGTTACCTTCAAAATAGTTCCTTCATACCGTAGCGCTCCACCACCCTGTGAGGTAATTATGTCAAATGTATGAATTTTATATATATATTTTTTCCGTTATTGTGCTTTTTTTGTTTTTTATTACGTTTTTTTCCTTTTGCGACTTGGTGAAGAAAAAAAACAAGAGAAAAACAAAATTGAAGTGTTTATTTTATTTTGTGTTGTTACGTTGCCACTGTTGCTGATTTTTTTTTTCTTGCTTTTTTTTTTTTTTTTTTTTGTTTTTTTTAATATGGTATCGCAATTTGTATGTAAATCTGTGCATTTTTATGGGTCTGCGTATACATATTTCTTATGTATGCGAATGTGCGAATGTGTGCGCCTATGTCGTTTATTATTTAACTTTAACCCAAGTTGTTTTCATTTTGTTGCTTATATATATATATATATATATATGTATATGTATATGTATATGTATATGTATATGTCTTTGTATATGCTGTAACTGTGTATGCGTATATATAGCGTCCACTTTTTGCCATCATCAACATCACCTGACACTTACATTTGCTCGTCGTCTCGTTTTTCCTTTGTTGCTGCTGTAAGCATTGCTGCTGTGCATCCCAACGGAGTACCGTTGGTTACTTACTCGCACCACAACTCCTGCATTTCCTTTCGTCTTCCTCACTCTTGTTAATACTTATTATTATGAAAATATTGTTATTTATCTTAAGTTGAGTTTTTTTCTTTTTTTTTTCTTTTTTCTTTTGCGTTTCATTTAGTTTTATTACATTTTATGTACTAGCTTTTAATTCGTTTGTTTCTCATTAACATAAAATATCACTTTTTCTAAATAACAAAAAAAAAAAAAAAACAACAACAACTAAAAAAAAAATCCAACATCATGCAGCTTTTCAGGATCAGACCAGCCCCGGTTCTAGTAAGTAAAGCATAATAAAAAAAAAAAATAAAAATAAAAAAAAAAAAATACAAATACAAATATAAAAGACATGACTTATATGTTTTGGCGCTGTCTGTGCTTAGTTAACCAACTAACTAACACATTTAAAACTTAAGTTAGTTTAGTTAAGAGTTTCATTTGTTTAATGTTATGTTTATTGTTTGTCTTGTCTCCTTTATTTTTGGATTTCGTTGATTGTCTATCATTCTCGCATTGTTTTTTTCTGATTATTTTTATTTTTCTATTTCTCCTTTTCTCTCTTACTATATCTCTGTATAGTTATCATGCGTTTACTTTGTAAAATACGAAGCGAAAAACTTAAATTTATTTTTCGTTTTTCTTTTTCCGTTTTCCGTTTTGTTTTATATAAAGTGTGTTGGAATCGAATTATATTTCTTGTTAACGTTTCTTTTATGAAATTCAAAGGAAAAAATGAAAAAAAGCTTTGCTCAAAAAATTTGTTATTTGCATGCAATGATAAGAAATTTAATTGCATTTACTTAATTAACTTTCTCTTCCGCAGTAGATATTGCTCTTGAAATATCTTATTGCTACCAGTCGAACACCACAAAACTACATAACATGCAAAAAGATTCAATGAATCTTTCAAGTAATTTCGTAAGAGATGGCGCGGCGACCGTGCAAACATTTTGCATACATTTTTCTTGACTTTGAATTCTCATGGCTTTCCACCACGGCTTGTCCTTACATCAAAAGTACAACTGTCCGTTGCCGAGAGCCGGCTGCAGTTATTTTTGCTTGCATTACTTTTACAAAAGGAAAACACATTAACATTACATTTTTTACTTACTATTGAGAAATTTTGAGGTGTCATCGTTTGTATATCAATCTCATTGACATTGATCCATTCGAATGGAGTGTCGGCTATCGAAAATTCGCGCTAAATTTTGTTATAACATGTTCAGCAACATTAGTTATTGTTAATTGCAATTGTGTGACTATTGCTAATGCTTTTGTATGTGCGTATATTTTAGAGGATTAGAGGAGATTCCGAGTTTGCAATTACATTGATTGCTTTTTGGCGAACAACAGATGCCATTCAAAGTGGAAAAAAACACCAAGTTTAAAGCGGGAAACCATAAATATTTCTTCGAAAGTAACAATTTACTAAAGGTTATGTCTATCGTTCATTTATCGCATCCAAATAAAATCGATTAATATCTTGGATTTATTTTACCGTATCGGAGTATGCTTTATAAAGAGATGAGGAAAAAATGAAAATACGTAAATGCGTAGCGTAGTAGGGTGGGCGATTTCGCTTACTCTAACTGAGTGCAATGTTAACCAATTCTTAGTTCAAATAATTATTTACATGATTGCGGCTTGAGAACGACACAAATGCAAAAGCCGATGTATGACAAAACGGTCAAAATGATCAAAAACTATATAGTACTTATCTTAAACTTTATAATAGTAGTTATCTTAAACCTTGAGCTAGAAATAGGAATATTTATGTCCTTACGATCTTATGTTGCAAAAATGATATCATATAAGAAAAGGTGGGAAATAGTAAAAAACGGGAATTGCATAGCAATGCAGGGTTGAAATAATTTTGGACGAATAAGAAAACGAATTTAGCTCCACCGTTCAATCAAATTCCATGCATTCCATTATGATCCCGTTATATCTTTTCTGGCTTATGAAATGGCCTTCAGGGAAAGAGATTTCAACAGAACATGTTATAACAAGAAATCCGAAGTGCGGAGGACCATTCAAATTTCCCTTCACTGTCTCTGGAAAGAAAGGCTCTCTTACAAATAATATTTATATTTGTATGATGGAAAGAATTTTCCACATTTTTGGGAAATCTTTAAAACCTTTTGATACCCTTTAAATCATTTATGATACAGGGTAAATTAAATTCTTGTGCAAAAGTATGTGACAGCCAGGAGACCTTGAAATATATCTACCGTTTATTGTATCTATCGATTCAGAAAGTGATTCTGAAGTGATTCTGTGTGTCCGCCTATCTGTCCGTCCGTCTCTCCATGTAACTTATGTTCAATCTTCAAGTTCAAATTTTTAAGATATTGTAATAAACTTTGTTACAGTGAGATGTTTGGGCCCAAGGACGAACCCTATTAAACCTCGGACCACTTTTTGGACCACTTCCTAGACAACGCTTTATTTTGAAAGGTTGTTATGTGATTAGCAGTAGTGGGATATAGGGTTGTTTTACTCTCCAGACACACTTCAAATAGATTCGTTACATGTATAAATATAGATGTCGTCTCAAGTATACGTATTTTCGATTGGTATTAAATTCTTTGAGCACATGCTAGATAAATGCATGGACAGACAGATAAGCTTAAATCGATCAAGCAAATGATTCCGAATCGGGAAGTATAATGCAAGATTGGTCGGTTGACGAATCCATTTAGATATGACAAGCATCCGCATCTACTATACTCTATGTCGGAAAAAATTTTCGGGTATAAAGATGAGATGAAAGTGTACACAATGTTAAATCAAGCAATTTAGCTTGAAATAATCCTTCGAGTTGAACGAGAGAAGAAAGAAGAACTAGTCAAATTAATAAGCTCCATACAAAACTTATTAAGAACTAATTGCTGTGGACCCCTTGTGTAAGACTCATTTCACCATATCACGCGACAATTTGTCATAAAAAACTGGAGCAAATAGAAGGCATGATTCGGTTAGGTTCAAATCAACATATACGATTCCTTAAGAAAGCAATCAGTAGCAAGTAGCAAGTCACTACTACTTCTACCATGAGTTCAAGATTTTTGCTCGATGCCAGGTGCAACAGCGGGCTTAGCGAGTTGTTTGCTTTTTTCACATTGCCTAAGAGTGTAGATTGAGAAGGAGTAGATAGTCATAATGTCCGAATTTCTTAATATATATGTTGATATACATAACATTAGTATATAAAATAAGTAAGAAAATTAAATTGGGCAGTGACCGAATCTTTTATACCAAAGACAAAAGAAGTAAAAAAACTAAATTTCCATGCTACTTGATGTGGAGTGGGTGGGACTGATTCAAGAGGAAAGTGTCATTTTACTTGAATAAGCTCCAATCTAGATAACATATATAATATATCTTACATGAGAGTATTTCAAAATTAAAACCTGAGTTCTTAATAATAAACAATATTTAGTAAAAAAATTTCAATTTTAGAAAATTTTAGTTTTTTCTTTAGAGTTTCGCTATTAATCTTCGCTTTGTTTTTAAAACAACGTCTGAAAAGAAGAGCGTCAGGTGTTTTCTTTTTGTTTTGTGTCTCAACAAAAGATGAAAATAATTCAAACTTGCATTGTATATATAATGCAGCACACATGAATATACACATAGATAATATACATTCTTTATATACAAATAGAATTTTTGAGCAAAGTTTTCGAAAAGAAGGGAAGAAATAATCTCTGCATTAATGTGAATTTAAATTTTAGATAAATATAAATGAAATAAATGTCTTTGTGTGCATTTGTGTTATACGTTTCATTTTAGATATTTGTGCGAGCACAGTTTGATTATAATCCCTTGGATGATGAGCTAATACCATGTGCCCAGGCAGGCATTGCCTTTCAAGTGGGTGATATATTACAGGTAAGGTGGCTTTATAGTAAGTGACAGATATTATACGATACAATACGATACGATACGATACGTTACTATACGAAATGATACATAATAACACCGTAATGGTAATTAATTTCTAATCTGGCCATTACGGCTGCTATTGTTATTGTTGTGGTGCTTGATGTCGTTTCTGTTTACTGCTTACCTTGGCATTGATTGCAGATTATAAGCAAAGACGATCATCATTGGTGGCAGGCTAGATTGGATGCTGTGGGTGGTTCGGCTGGTCTAATACCATCACCAGAATTGCAAGAATGGCGTATAGCCTGTCAAACCGTGGATAAAACTAAACAAGAGCAAGGTAAGTCCAACATAGGGAAAACTAATCGCTTATATGCCTGGTGGGTGTTATCGGTCTTTTTGTGCGTGTGCTTGTGCGTATGTGTATGTGTATATGTGTGTGTGTGTGTGTATGTATGTGTATGTCTCTCTGTCTCTTTTTTCTCTATCTCTCGCTCGCTCTCTCTCTCTCTCTCTCTCTCTCTCTGTCAGTCTTTATTTTACAACTATGTATAATTAACTAAGAATATATATATATATATATGTGTGTGTGTGTGTGTGTGTGTGCATTTCGATATACTCTACTTTGTCGGTATCAGTATACAAATAATTATAATTGGCTTGTTCTTGATGTGCGTGATGTGGCTCCCGCTATAACCGGTCTCATGATTTACAAAATTTGTTTTGTTTTTCTTTGTTTCTCTTCTAATGGTAGAAAAAATTGTGAAAATTTGTTGTATTCATTCCTTTCTACTTCATTAACTGTAATTGTCATTCTAAATTAAATTAATTTTTGTGTTGTTTTGTTTTTTTTGTTTTTTTTTTTGTTCTAAATGAAATTTTCAATCTATTATTAAAACTATTGTTAATAAATGTGTATTTTCGTATAAAAAGCCTATAACGGTAATTATTTAAGTATTGTTTGAAAAATAAGAAAAATAGGAAAATTTTTTTTTTTTCGCTCCTCTCGTTCAAAATCTTACTCTGTCTCTCTGTCTCACTCTCTCTCTCTCTCTCTTTACTCTCTCCATTGCCATAAATGACAAGATACTTTTTTAAACATTTAGTGAAAGGGTTTGTTTTTTTTTTGGCGATATTCGATGTGTTTTGGATAAATAAACAAATCAAGCATGCTATCATACTATACTTCATGTTAGTTTGCCTAGACTTTTTTTTTTTTATTTTTTTTCAACTAAAGAAACATCGTAGCTCTCGTGTGCTCTGTTTCCCTTAACTTTCATATTATTGTAAAAAAAATTTTTATATTCTCTATGTCTCTCTCTCTCTCTCTCTCTCTCTCTCTCTCTCTCTCTCTCGCTGTCTTTCCTAATTCTCTGTGTTACATAAAACATTTAATTCAATTAATACAATATCTGTAAATACCTTATAAATGCAGGTGAGCCTGGTGCTGGATGTTCCGCTCACACAGATGGGTGTGATGGATCCACAGGTATAGCTAACAAAAAACACGCAACCTACAAACAAAAAACAAGCACACACACAAACATATGCACACACCTACATGATACCACAAAACCAAGCGGTTAACTGAAATAAAACAACAGCAAACCCTCCTAGCACTTGTTCTAAAAATAAATATTTAAACAGTTACAAAAACAAAAAATAAAATTCGAAAAGAAATTTTTAATGAAAATCTTGGAAACAACGGATTTACGAGCAAAAAACAAGGAAATCTAATAATACTTTTTTTGGTGCTCAACTTGGTTATTGTGATTGTTGTTCATGTTGTTGGTTACGTTTTTTTGTGCGTTCAATCTTTTTTAATAAATATTCGAAAAGCTAAAGCGTAAAGAAAAAATCGTTTTGCAACTGTTAGCGCTTAACGTTGGTGTGTGGTTGTTTTCCTTGTTATTGTTGTTGTTGTTGTTGTTGCTGCTATTCTTGCCGTTGTTGCTGCTTCTGTTTACACAGTCGTTTAGCGGTTTCATTTTGGCTGTACGTCAAAAACCACAATATCACTATCTACATCCCAACAGCACCATCGCACCTACCACCATCTGGAATATCAACAACAATAATAACAACAACAACAACAACAACAAAAGTAGCTTAACTAATAACGACCGCAGCATTTTTTTGCTTTAACTCCTCATTTAATACTTGTGAGCACCAGTAGTTCTAGTAATAGTTCTAGTAATATATTAACAACGTATACCTTCCAAACTGCACTCTTTCTTCCGTATAGCTATTTTTGGTTTTTTTTCTCTCTCGAAAAAAAAAAAAATGAATTACTTTTTAACTGTATTAAAAAAAAAAAGAAAAAAAAAAAGAAAGCTTTCAAAAAAATTTTTTTTAAATACTTTCAAATCCGTAGATAATAATCTACAACGTTTCGTAGTAGTCTACGTATAGCAAAACATTAAAGTTAAACACACGCACACACCTTATTTTTAAGCCTCTGCATACCAGCACTTTACACTACAACCATCGCTACAGTTACCACCATTACCATCATGTAGATGCCATTGTTCGCTAAAACCTGCTACACATATTTCGCTCTATCTCTCTCTCTCTCTCTCTCTCTCTCTCTCTCTCTCTCTTTCTCTGTCTCTCTCTCTCTCTCTCTCTCTCTCTTTCTCTGTCTCTCTCTGTCTATATGGTTCTTAATTAATACGCTTTTCGCTTTTGTAAAGCTTCCTTCATCTTTCATTGCGAAAAACCCACTGCTATAACTAGTACTTTTGCACATAAGCATCATTTTCAAATCCTAAGTTCCTTTCGTTATTTCTCTTCTTCTTCTTCTTTTTTTTTTTTTTTTTTTTTTCTTCTCTTCTAACGGTATTAACAGTACCAGCACTAAGACCTTAAAGATCTCCTTCACGAATTTTTACCAGGAAAAAAGAAGAAAAAAAGGAAAAAAAAAAACTTAATCATCTATTCGACTATAGGCTAACTTTTCATTCGCCTTTACGCACTTTTAATCACCTGCACTGCCACCTTCATATTTTCACTGCCACCATTCATGGGTTGTTGTATTTTTTTTTTTTTTTTTTTTTTTCTTGTATTCCAATATTTTATCTCTCTGCTGCTCAGCTTTGAACTCGCGTTATCTTTGACTATTTTCCTATTTTTAATGCTATGCATAAATATGTATGTGTTTATGTAACTCGCTGTAAACTCCTATAGGATAAGTACATATGTATCCATATTTATAGAGCTCGGTATAAACTGTTGTTGTTGTATGTAACAAAATATTTTTGAATACATATTTTTACATAACATTTTGCGGTAAAAGTTTATTTATTTTCAGTTCACATAATATTGTTTTTTTTTTTTTTTATTTTTATTTTTTGTTCATTTCCGGCATTTTCTCGTTTGTTCGCTTGTTAATGTTCTGAAGAAATTTATAAAAGTTTAATGAGTTTCCGTTATATCCGCAAATATTTATATTGATATAATTCATGTGGCCGCATTCGCCAACAAACTTAATGCCGCTCGTGCAACCATTCATTCAACTCGACCACCGAGTGTAACTCACACACTTTATCGCGCCACCATTCACATCCATCCACCTATTCCACGTTATCTCTTTTAATATTGTGAAGATAAGCAAAAAAAGTAAAAAATAAAAAATAAAAAAAAATAAAAAATAAAAAAACTTTTCATATAAATTCTGTACACACCTAATTCGTTGAGAAAAAGGTGCACTTTGGGCATAATTAAGTTTAAAATGGCCGACACACTTGTGGTTCCGAAAAAATTAAAATTTCCAATTATTTTACGCAGCGCTCGGAAAATAAGTCAGTCAGTCTCTAAAGGTCATTACGATAATAAAAACTTAATTACAATTGAAATTTGGTGAAAGCGTTTGCTTTTAATTAAAACTACAAAGAAACTTGCTTTCCATAAATTCCTAGAAATGGAGTCCTTTAAGAACTTGTAAGCGTAGAGCTATTCTCAGGGAAACAAGAAAAGTTTAGTTCAAATTTCTTTTGAGTTTTTTATGTTAAAGTTGAACGCACAGGCACAAAATTTATGCCGATTCGCTTTGGTGGCGAAACAAACTTATTACCATTAGCATGGGAACATCGGATGGATAGTTTACTCCTGTTTGAAGTCATAAGATGAAATTTCTTCAATTTCTCTAAACTTTTCCAAATTAGGTAAAACAAACGCTTGGAAAATGTTTTTATTCCTTTATAAAGATTATAACGAATAAGTTGCGACAATTTCACTCGAAATGGAATTTTGTTGCAATCGTTCTAAGAGTTCACAAGAAATGATTACGCGAAACGTCTTGGGAAGTCAGTTGTTATTATGTATGCTGTTCATGATGTTGAAGAATGTCTCGATGGCCTTCCAATCTATTTTTCAGAGGTTAATGGCTGCAACCTCGGTTAGTTTCATTATCTTTCTCTCAATTTGTGTCAGTCAAGGTTCGTCAGTCAATTGGCTTTATTAAATCGAGGAAAGCTCTCATCTTTGCGTCTCTGCTCTTGCATTTCGGATAGTCAATCCAAACATCATATGAATGAATATTTACCCGGATTAATTTCAATTAAATCCTAACCGATCGTTTTAAATGTTGAAAACAAGAAAGCCTTCAAATACTCTGAGAAAAAAAAAAAAAAATTAAAAAAATACCGTAAAGAATACTATCGTCGTCATCATGCTTTGCCCGTTTTTCAATATTATCAATCTATCTGCAGTGCTCTGTCTCGCCATTCAAGACAAGTTTCCATTTGTATATAAAACTTTCTTTATCTATTAATAGTTGACGTATGTATGTATATGTGCGTATAAAAGCAATAAAAGAATTATCTAAACGATAGAAAACGTATTGTATAAAAATCCTATAGATGGATGGGTGGAATGATGGAATTTAACTTTAATTCATTAAAGCTTTAAGAAAAATATTTCGCTTCGACTCGATAGAAAGGTAGTAATAAAATCAAGTTGTTATGAGGATTAAATATAAAAAAAATAAAAAAAAAGAAAAGCATATAAATTTTACAAACTAAGAACACGAATGAGGAGGCAACACAGACTTAGGACTTAGGTAAGTAGAAGTGAAGAGTCACACATTGTTGTTAAACGAACAATTCTAGAACTATCAAGAGAAGAAATTGGATAATTAAACTCATTGGTTGGTTTAATCTAATGCAGCCAAACGTTAGGAAGACATCAAAGAATACAAAAATCGTTAAACAATAATAATAATAATAGAGCTGTAAAAGTCACGTCATGAAATTAAAAGTCCTAGCAATCTTGTTATTAACTTTGCAGGATCAACTTCATATATATATGTATATATATATATATATATATATATGTGTACACTGTTTAGAAATTTGTTAATTAACAATAAAGGCTTTTCTCAAAGCCATATCTTATTCAGTTGTAACCGAACCTTTTTTAACCATCATCTTTATCCCTAAACTCTCATGCTCTATAACAACGAGTGGGTGTGACTGATTTTAGCAATTTTTGTGAAATATAAGTGAAAATTCGTATTGTGTTTGTGAGTGTGCAAAAAAAAAAAAAAAAAAAATGCAGAAAGTAGAAGTGTACTGTGGGCGTGCCCTTTGACCGATTTGGCCCATTTTTAAAAGTCATTGTTCTCGATCAAGGGGTCTCGGAAGCTTCCCCCTAGTCATTGCAAGCAAATTGGCAAAGTACTCTCTACTGCCGTCTGCCAGTAGTGCGTATAAAAAATGAAATAATTTATTAACCTCTGAAAGTAAAAATTCTAACGGTACATAAAAGAAATCTTTTCAACTGATTCAACCAAGACGTAGGTGTGCCTTCACAAAAACTCAATATTTTTAACTTTGCTTCCTTGTACGCCAACTCTACAGAATATTAATTTTTCCTCCAAAACAAGAAAACAAAACCTGATTTAAGGTCTAATTTCTTCAAAAAACTGATTTAAAAACAAATTTTTGTCTTTTCCAAAGAAATATACGAGAAAAAAAGTCTAAAGGGATTATTGTCTCGTAAGAGAATTCGTTTTTTTTTTATGGAAAAACAATTTAAATTAGTTTAAGAGAAATACGTGAGATGCCAGGCCTGATTTCCGGCTTATGGAACAACACAAATAGGTCAATCGATTGGTTTAGTAATTTTATCGTTGCTTCTCTCTCTCTCTCTCTCCCTGGCGTTCCTGATTGATTCGTTGAAAACAGTGCGGCAATCTTCAAGCTTGATCTGCAAGTAAAAGTGCACTCCAAGCCAATATCCCCCGGTTAGTAGTATCCGATCATTAAGAAAAAAAAAAAAAAAACGTATAATTTTTCCTCTTTCCAAATTTTTGTGGACTCTTGAAAAACTTTTAGTTAACTTCACATGAGATAAATTTTTTTTCTTTCGTAAAATTTTCCGCTCAACGGAATCATTAATGCCGCGAGCAACGTGTAATAATAATAATTTGTTTTAAATCATTTGCGGTACGAAATATTTATGTGAATATATAGTGAATCGGCCACTTTGCAAGTAAATACACGCCATTTGTAGATAGGGATGGGTAAGTGTGTTCGGCTTGAACCGAATATAATTTCCTTTTTGTATTATGTTTTCATTATTTTGTCATTATCTTATATGGAATGATGCGTTTTAATGTTAAATAATTTTAAGCTCGAGATTACCGCAGAATCTAAAAATATTTGTCTTGTATTTTTTTTTTTGTTTTCATAAAACCGCATGTTAATGTTTAAGACAGAACTTGCAAGCTGCTTGCATTTCCCTTAAAATAAATTTTCAATTTTATTACTTATTATTGTCTATATAGAAATTTAATTATATTTCCATTTGATATAACTTTGAGGTTTTGAGAAATTGCAAAAAATAAAAAAATAAAGAAAATACAAACAATTTAACGAATTTTTCTGCTAAATAAATATTTTATCTCAAGACAAAATGCATGATATTTAGCTATGATGCATGCATGTCGAATATTTACAGAACAGAAATTTTTTCAATAAGAAATTCTTCTTTTTTTTTTTTTAAATAAACTTTAATTAAATATAATTAATGTGAAATTAATATTTAAAAATGTTGTTTTTTTTTTTATGTTTTAACAGTTAATTGTTCGATATTTGGACGTAAGAAGAAACAATGTCGGGATAAGTACTTAGCTAAGCATAATGCCATATTCGATAACTTGGACGTGGTTACCTATGAGGAGGTTGTAAAAGTGCCAGGTAATAAAGTGAAATTATTTTTTTTTACAAATTTTTCTCTTAAAATGTATGTAAATATTATTGTCGTGTTGTGTTGTGTTGCGTTTTAGTTGGCGATCCGAATTTCCAACGTAAAACACTAGTTTTATTGGGAGCACATGGTGTGGGTCGCCGTCATATCAAAAATACTTTAATATCCAAATATCCCGATAAATATGCTTATCCCATACCACGTAAGTAGCACAAAACATTAAACCGATAAGTGACCTTTCATAGAATAAATCTTTAAATTATTTCTATAATGAATTTTTTTATGTTTTTCTTTGGTCTTTTTTCTTTTTTTTTTTTTTGTTTTTATTAAACCAACATAGATACAACGAGACCTCCTAAGCCAGAAGAAGAAAATGGCCGTAGCTATTATTTTGTTTCACATGATGAAATGATGGCCGATATAGCCGCCAATGAATATCTAGAATATGGTGAGTGTTATTGTTATCTAAATCAATTGCAATTTTGCTTTATAGTTGTTTTGCAAAATATATATTCAACAAACCGAAGCGATATAAGAAAATTGAAGTCAGCTTAGAACGAATCGTAGATACCTTAAATTTTAGAGAAATTACTTTAATTTTTATTCATTAAGTTTGAGTCTTAAGGGGATGCATTTCTAAATTTCTTCACAAATATTCCGATCAAACTGCATGGCGTATTAACTTATGAACTATAGGTGGATTGTTGAAGCGCAAATATTCCATACCTGCGATGGAATCATCGTGTTTTACATAACAAATTCTATCCTCCATTTTGCTATCTTTATGAGCTGCCCCGTTTCTTTTCTACCGTATATTGCTTTCTACCTTAAATTATAATGTGAGCAGAGCAGGTATATAAGTTGCTTGATCTCATAAAATCCTTCAAAGCTTTATAGAAAATCGTTGTATAGAAGACATCGTAGAAAATGCCAGCGTCGTAATAGGACACAAGACATTGCACTCAGCTGCTTCGATTGCTACAACTTCCCTATGAACGAACTTTGAAATGGACTGGACTTGGAACAGCTGTCTCGATTGTTCAATCTCTGTTGCGTGCATTGTGTCCTTACTTAGCCTTAGTTGCGATGACTTATGGGCTAAGTTTAAAACACGGGAGAAAAGGCGATATATTCTAGGGAGTATGACAATATTGCATCGCATGAATAAAGGGATTCTATTACGCCTGAAGAGCCAAATAGGAATAAGTGTGCATGGGCCGAATACACTCCCCTCTTGAGGAATGGGAGAGCAAGATCTTAGCCTTTTTTGTCTTTTGATCGATTTTTCTCTCATCTTCATCAAGTTCAATCATCGCGCGAGAGAATTTGTCGGCCTTGTAGTTGCACTACGAATGTTAAGGTCTTGGACTAAAAGTAAACCGAGTTCGTATCGTGAAGGTTTCTGAGGCGCTCGTTTTTTTTTCCTTTCTTCATAGAAACGCAATTAGAAAATTAATTTGTCTTTATTTTTTATAGTTATGTTTAACTTTTGAGGATGGAAGGGATAGACAAAGTAACATGCTTGCCTTACTATGTTCACTTAATTCTTTGCAATATGTTCATTTTTACCGTTTATTTGAAAAAGGTACTCATGAGGATGCCATGTACGGCACCAAATTGGATACCATTAGACGAATTCATACTGAAGGCAAAATGGCAATACTCGATGTTGAACCGCAAGCTTTAAAAATATTACGCACTGCTGAATTTACACCATATGTGGTTTTTATTGCGGCACCATCCCTACAAAATATTGCAGATGTAAGTATTTTTAGCAGCGGTAAACATTACCAATACTGGCTGCAGTCTCAACTTCAACCAAAAAAAAAAAAAAAAAAAAAAAAAAAAAAAAAAAAAAAAAAAAAGACGTTTAAGGATTCAAAACGTTGACGAGGATGTTATTATCTATGCAATGGTTATGTGTTGCTGTTATAATGCTTTAGGGGTTTTTTTTTCTTTTTTTTTTTTTTACTCAGTTTTAAAACGATTTGTTAGTAAGCATTTGTAAGTGTGCGCATAAAATGATTTTCTCCCCATCGTTTTACATACATAGATATACACAAATTTATTTTTTTTGGTTAACAGACCATTTGGGGTTTTTTTTTTGTTGGCATTTTTACCCCGGGATTGATGTTTCAACTTGTCCAAAATGTTTTTGTGTAAATATATATAAAAACGTTAGGATTATCTGTTTTTAAATATTTATGCACGCACTCGCAATGCAAGAATATAGATATAAAATGTTATTGTAATTTGTTTGCTATAACGTTATTATTGGAATTTAGTAGACTTTGCATTTTTAAAGAGTGCAATATAAAGCGAAATAAAAAGTTTATAGCCGGGCTTAAGCGACCGCATCATATCGCCTAACATTCACATTTTTCATTTACTTTCGTTATCAAATACCAAAGATTAGGTTTTGTTTCCATGTGAATGCACACCTTTTCGATGGAAGTCTTAATATCTTAAGATCTGTGAATTTGATGCTACTGTGAACGTCATTGTCAAAATGCTATTACGAATCAATTTTCACTATGAAATGTTCATAGTTAATCCTTTTTGCTATGTAATGGCTTACTTCTCCAAACAAAGAAGGGCCCGATTTGAATAAACTGACCCATTCGATTGAAATTTTTCAACACTGTCTTAAGATAGATAGGGTTGTTGGAAGAGTGATCTTAAATATAGATCGATTCAATGCAATTTCATTAAGTTTTCGCTTTGAGCTAAAACGCCGTACGACTAATTTTGTCAAAATATCTCAGAAATTTCGAATAGGTCGAAGATAAAACCACATTGGCAGACGTCAGGTAGACAGACAGACAGACAGACAGACACGCGCTGGTTTCTCTTAAATTGTTCTGTGCGCATGCACATGCGCACAATTCCAATATATAGCCTGCAACAGAAGCTATGTAGAGTATAAAAATCGAAAGTAGTCTTAGTAGTAATCTTAGGGACTCATAGTTCAGGTTAGTTTCCTTTCACTTTATGACATAGGGGTCGTTCAGTATGCGATACTTATACGCTACCTAGTATATTAAATTTCCATGTATATATACAAAATTCTCAAATGCCAGTTTGTACATATCGATGTGCAAATTCTCAATTCAAAACTTTTTCCACAAGTCCATTTTATAATTCAAATCTTTACCTAAAAGTATTGCCAAGAGCTTGTTGAAATTGACATCTTCGAGCTGGCCGAGTTTTTAACTCTCTCAATAAATCCCATGTGGGATGTTTACCACTGAAGAAATTTATATCGTTCTTTGGCGAATAAATTTGAGATAAATTCGCCCCTAAATTCGTGCTCATAAAAAAGGGTTAGCTTACAACCAAAGCGCAATGTTTCCTCGACGAACTATGTTCACAACAAAACGACGTATCATTTACACAAGGGGCCTGGTACTCGTAAATATTTCACGTGAATTTTTCCACAGCGCTATTTCTCTGCCTGCCTGCCTCTCTCTCTCTCTCTCTCTCAGTTGTTTAAACAAGTATTTTATTAGATAGGCCCGGGATTTTTCAAACCCCATTTTTAAGAAATATTCAGGATAAGGCCAAGAGAGCTTCTTTTTTGTTTACTTGCCATGCGATAAACCAAATATGGCATCAATCTAGCAGATGGATTTCTCGTATCCGCTTCTAATTTCCTGTGATGGGGAAATGTTCATATAACGCTGGCTATCTCCTTCTTTCTTTCTGAAGGGAGGGGAAAAAAAGCAAATAAAAATCAAATGATTTGAAAATTTCGTATACTTTATGCAGTTGTAAACTTATGCAAAACTTTCAAACTTTTACTCAGCATAAAATTTCTCATCAATGAAGAGATATCGACTGACTACAAGCCTTTAACATTTCGAGATTATGACGTTTGATGCTTAAAAAGATCATGTCTTGATTTAAAACTTCTTGTGACATAACACGAAAAGTCAATTAAGAAGAAGAAGAAGAAGAAGACGAAGACGAAGATACATTATTCGATAATATTAAGCATTTTAAAGTGAAACTTTTTGTTTGCACTTTATTGTAGTAAAACTTTCCATTTAGCAATTAATTGTTTGTCTTTCTTGTCTGTTCTCTTCCTTTTCCATATCATTTCTATGCGTTTTAGTATGACGGCAGTTTGGAACGTTTAGCTAAAGAATCAGACATGCTGCGACAAATGTACGGTCATTTCTTTGATTTGACCATTGTGAATAATGATATAAGCGAAACTATAGCAACACTTGAAAGTGCAATTGAAAGAGTGCATACAACACCACAATGGGTGCCTGTCTCGTGGCTATACTGACAAGACAGTGAGCTCGAATGTCCCGATTGCTTGGAGGGTTGCGATTGTGAATGGGATGCTTACACCAATGCTCACACTACGGGGATGTTTTAGAAGAAAAGATCAAAAAAAAAAAAAAATAAATAAAAAAAATAAAAAAATAACAAATAATAAAAAAACAATCCAAAAGAAAAATTCAAGTAAAACGGGAGAAAAATACTCAACGCAAACAATAGAGACGGAAACAAAAAATTAAATATAGAAAATAACAAAAAAGAAAAACAAAAAAAACCAAAACAAATACAAAAAAAAAAAAAGGAAACTTCAACAAAAACACAACAAAAACATTCACTTGCAAAAGTCAGAGACAAATACATACACACTTTACACACATCTATCTATTTAAAGAGAGCACATTAATTAATTAAGTTTAAGAAGAGAAAACAAAAAAATAAAAAAATAAAGAAAAACAAAAGAATTTAAAACAACTGACAGACAACAAGTGCACAAAAATATAAAAAAAAAAAAAAATTGTTAATCGGGTGGGGAGAAGCAAGAGTTTAATTTAATATTAAGTAAAATGTAACCTCTAACTACACATATATACACACACACACACACGCCCACTCACACAAATACAGTCAACATTTAGTCGGAAAGCAAGAGAAATAGAAATATGAAGATAGCTAATGAGAGAGAAAGAGAGAGAGAGAGACAGAGCAATAAACAAATAACCCACACAAACAACAAAAAGAAACGAAAAAAATTTAAAAACAAACAAAAAAAGGAGAAAAATCCTTATTACGAGCAATTATTTATTTAGGTTTTTGTTGTTTTTTATAAGATATTAAAATAATAAATTTATGCGAATGTAAATGTTTTGTACATAAAAAAAATTATGTAGTTTGCGTTATTGTCTAAAATAATTAAATACACAAAATAATAATACAACAATGCACACAAATACACATACACAAATAAGCATACTTCATATTAATATTTATATTGTTCAAGCAAAATCTTTTATGGACTTTTCTATTATTTAGTTAATAGTTTTTTATTATTTAGTTAATTATTTAATAGTAAATTTTTCTCCTTTCTTTTTATTTATTTTTTTTTTTTTTTGCTTTATCTTTTTTATTATACGACGGATATTCCAAATTTTTTTCGCTTCATCACAACCGTGGCATATTGAGGCGTTCAAACTTTGTCCGTCCGTCCATTTTTATCTATTTATTTATGGGGATTGTCAAGATGTGCTTTATGATATGTGCTTTTTATTTTTTTATATATGTAGATCAAAAGAAGAATTGATCGCAAATTTTGATCGTAATCTAATTTGCTAGAAAATGTAAAAAACGAACATTCCTTAACAGTACTTTACAACCTATAAGAGATTTCGTGATACAAAAGTTACATATATTTATCATGACAATGTCAGGGAAGGGAAGAAGTGAATGCGAAACCGGCGGAGAATTTTACTTCCTAAAGAAACCTATACTCTCGGAAGAGCATTTTCGATTTCCTTTGATTTTTTAATCAAATATTCCATGTTAGCTAGTCTAGCAATATGCATTTAAGTCTTTGCACAGTGTATAAATACCTAAAGAGTGTGAGAGTCTTAGTCATCCTTCCTTCTCTACTTTCCGAAAGGTTTTCAGCTCACCATTATAAATAAAGGAGTCAAAAACCACCCTAAATGAAAGTCAACGGTTCCCTTTCTGCGTCTGCCTGACAGGCAAAAGTTTTTGAAAAATTCTTCTCAACATTTGTTGTTAGACAGACAATGAACTCAAATAGGATGGCAAAATAGACATCACTTCATCTAAAACATGTCCACAATCGAAATAAAAATTTTAAACTCCTTAGGTATTTGTAAAATCCGACAACAATAAAAGGTATGGACATATAGACAGACGCAATTAATTGGTGCTCGTACATAACTAAAACTAAAAAAAATTTTAATTTAATATCGTTTGCTATAGAGTGTGCTTACAAGCCCATATAACTTTCGTATTCGGTTTTATGTTGGCCCCTCAAACCTTTTATTTATTGTCTTTGTTGTCTTTTTCTTTGTTTTATATCATTTAAAAAATAATTTATTAAAATCATTGCAATTAATTACGCTTATAATTTGTATACAAAAAACGCAATCGATCAGTCAGTCAATCAATCAATTAAGCAAAATTAACATGAATTAAACTTAAAACAAAAAAAAAAAAAAAAAACTCTTGTAGAGAAAGAGAAAGAGAAAGAAAGAAACAAACAAACAAAAAAAGGAAAACGCAGAGGCACTTGTTTTATTCGTAATAACTGCAGCAGAGGAAAAAGTGATAATAAAAAATGGAAAATTAAATCAACACTAAATATATTAATACCAGATCTCCTGTCGCGATATATTCACACACACACACACACACACACACCCACACACACACGCACACACACACCCAACAATATAAAATTGAATGCAAACTTTGTTATAGAACAACATGTTGATTTTAAACTTTTTTCCCACAACCACACCACAATCAATCACTCAAACAAAAAAAAAAAAAAAAAAAAAAAAAAAAAAAAACAAACACAAACAAAAATAAATAAATAAGTAAATGAAAAAAGACAACATCTGCAAAAACACCACAACATCCATATTAAGATTAAATCGAAAACGGCAAAGAAGTAAAATATGAAAGAAGAATACAAAAAACAAAAAAAAAAAAAGAAAGAAAGAAAAAAAAAAAATGATTAAAATGATTATTACTATGTTGTCAATAGAAACATAAAACAATAATAACAAAAAAATATTGTTATGAAAAAAACAATAAAAGTTGAAGAACCAGAAAATTCAATAAAATGAAAACATCAAAAACGAACTTTATTTCATTTCATTACAACAATAGCGAAAGCAATAAGAACAACAACAATAATAACACAACATCAACCATAAAACCATATATAAGCATAAAATTAACAAATTATATAAAGAAAAGAAAACAAAGTAAAAAACATTATTATCACAAAATTTGTTAAAAGTTTTCCTTGTCTCTGAAAAGTTTTTAAGAACATTTTTAGTACAACAACTACATCGTACAATATCACGCCACGAACTCTCTTTATAGCATCAAAACTCTCTAATCATTGATTGAACATCAATAAAAGTTTACAAGTCCTTGATTGAGTAGAACTTCATATTCATGGCTTTCTATATACATGTATATATGTATATGTATATATATATATATAGGTATGATGTTGTGAGTTTTACATAAAACATAAACTTATTTAATAAAGTTTGCAAATGAGCGACCACATCTATCTATCACTGTGTATAGGGCACAGGAGTTTATAATGATTCTCAATACGGGACTTTGACCGGTGAATTACTATTAGAAAGAGATTAATAGAAAGACATTGCACTCTTTCTTATCTATTCAATAGTGTTTGGCTCTTATCTTAATTTCAGTCAGAATTCAGTTTTGAAATCTTTCTCAATCCATCTAAGGCATAAATGTCTAATGACTGTCTCGTGTCGCGCTTGGAAGGGGAAGGGAAAAAACTCATCAATTAGCTGATGTGACCGTAAAATAATTAGTTTGCAAGTCCAGGGAGCGGGAAGGATAAGTTTCCTTATTTGCTAACATAGACATCTCAATGAATTTTACTTAATAAGCAGAGAAATTCCAAGACTTTTATCATGAAATTTGCATAGAAATTTCCATTATTTCACAATACTTCAATAATATGCCTAAGCATGAGAGAAGAAAAGGTTAGATGATTTAGAAAATTGAAAAAATAAAGTAAATTTTTTTTTCTTGCAGTATTTCACAGTATTTTAAAAAGTAGATTCGTCATTGCCTACTTCACGGTGGTATTTATTTAGACTCCCAGACACGCAATAGTGAATAATGAATTACAAGTTACAAGACAAATTGATCACGCAACATAAAAGTTTACATACATTTCACAACATTGTTGCAGTGTGTTTAACAAGAAGGCTTAGAAGAGGAAGAGGACTTACACTTTATGACGCTCTAAACATGCAGCTAAAGATAATTAGTTAACGGAATTTGCACGAGGATTGTTTACTTTGGGGGAGGAAAACTGTTGTGTGACGCGGTCTATGCATTCATTAAAAACTTTTTAGCAACTTTCAACTATTCTTCGATATGTAAGTGATATAGGACTTTGTTATTAAAACGCTATTTATTCAGTTCGAGCATATACTTGATTTTATATAACTTGTCCATCCATCTATGTGTGCAACTAATCGAGTTAAAAAGTTCAACATGCAAAATACTCCCGCTCTATACATCAGGGACCAGCATCCAACTTTGCTTGCGAATGTTGATTTGCGCAGAGTGTAAAAGTGTGCCAATGAAGTTTTAATAAATTTTTGAAAATTTAAAGCATTTATATAAAAATCACTGGGCTATGTGCACTTTTATTTATTTGTCTGGGGTAAAACAATGAATTCTCTTGCAGTGTGTGTGTACGTATGACTGAAAGAAGCAAAAGGCTTACATACATATTTACTATTCACTTGCACAGAACAAATGATAGTAATTTTTACTACTTAATAATTTCTAAAATTTTCCATATATATCTACATACATATATATACATATGTATATGTTTTAATATTTGCTTTCTTCCGGTAGAACTGATTGCTTATACGTAAAAAAAAGAAGAAAAAAAAAACAATTTCTTCTTTTTATTTTTCCTATGAAGTGAAATGTTAATCTCAATTACTTGCTGCAAAGAGGATTTATTAAGAAGAAGCGTCAATAACACGTACCTCAAGTTTACGCATTAACTTACCTACCTTCAAATTAAATGCCTTACTTGAGCTATAATTATAACCTGTAATCAACTCATAAAGTTACATAATGACATTCTAAGAAATAGAATAGTATTGTTGATTGTGTTCTTTTATGGAATGTATCTTGTGTAGCTGCCTAACTAGTAACTAGTGCTAGAGAATGTAATCTACTCAGTCGATTTGTATATATATTTTATTTTAC